GTTACCATAGGGGACTAGGGATTTTCCTAGGAGAAGGTACATGCATGCACAGGTAGGCACACAGGAGTGGAAGTATCAAACAGTAAGTCTGTTCCATGTGAATTCAGCATGCAGTGATGCAAAAAGGAAGAAGCTGTGTATATAGCTGTCACACTTCTCTCTTCTTCTTTCTTTTTTTTTCTTTTTCCTTTTTCTTTTTTTTTTCCCTGACAGTTCACTTAATTATAAGCTTTTGGATTTCAGCATTTCCTCCCAGTAACTCCCATCACCCTCTCAGGGACTGATGTTAGCAACCCATTTCATTGGCGGCTCAGTTGCCAGGATCAAATTCACTTGGCGAAAGCCCAGGTCCGCCTAATAAGCTATCTGCTTAAAATAATGAAAGAGTTAGTAGCCAACTATATTTTATGAGCGTTGACTATCTCACTTATGGAACCTGCTGGATTTGCTTGTCAAGAGTGTGTATGATCCCTCTCCTGAAAAGGCACTTTTAAAGACCTTGAAGTAAGCCCCAGAGCTCTGGCACAGCTACACTCATGGCAGAACTAATCGAGGTTAGCAATCTTAGTTTGATATGCAAGTAGAAAATCATTTTTGTGTTTTACTTGTAAGAGTGCCAAAGGACAGTAGGGTGCATTTGTAAACTTTTGCCCAATACTTGCGGTCATTAGTTTTGCAAAGGTCTGCCTGGATTTGTTAGCTGTGAAAACTACCTGCCAACTGTTTTGCTGATTCCATGAACATAACTACACCTGTGCTTCACACAAATTCATCACATTTAGTTTCCCCTGCAGTTGTCTGTATCCTCTTTGGATTTTTAGTCCATTTTAGAAAATAGTACTCTCAAGGCAGAGCCACACGCATAGGGCACTGCTTGTTAATTTGCTCTATTTCATTGTATGTCTGAGGATATGGCTGATAAAAGATGGAAATACTTTTTTTCTTTTTTTAATGAAAGCAAGTAGTAAATGTGGCTCCTGAAAGGCGAAAGGCTGGCTTGTGTCAAATCATACCCAGAGGGACAAAAAGCCTGAATTCTTATTTCTCTTTCCATAGATGTTTATTTGATACCATGTGAGATGTTTCCATTCATTTTCATTGATTTCCTATTCCCCTCATTTTAGATGGTGAGAGTTTCACATTACAAACAGGAAGAATGTTAACCTCAGTGTAAGAGGTTATACATTTATTCTCCTGCTCGGTGCTTAAAACTTCTCCCAATTCTTTCAGTTCTCACAGGCAGTGGGGACCATCCGCGTAGCTCTCACCTATTCCTGTCTTTTTGCCTCGTTTTGCCTAGGTAACATGTCTTTGCCTAGGTCACTTGGCTTTTCTTTGCCTCATTTTCCTCAGCAGGACAGATCATACTGCTTTAATACTTGACACTTAACCCCCTTGGCATGTGAGTGGAAGGGATCCCCGGTAAAGTTTACTTTTGCCGACACAGCATTAGCACCTGGAAGGCACGGTGGAAGATTGATGTTAGAGAGAGGCCAGATAGCAATAGTTACAGATGAAAGATACATTTCAGCAGCTTGCAGTAACTCCACAGAGTGGAGTTAATGTGTCCATCGCCAGCCGAGGCACCTAGGACTCGGTTTCTAGGTGTTTTCCTTGCTCCTCCCAAATGGAGGTTTAGCAGGTAGGGCAGCCAGGGCCAGAGTGGGCTGCTGAAGGGATAGCAAGAAGTAGAGAGCAGCGGGGAAGGACAGGCATGAGAATGCAGCACGTACCCAGGTCTATAGCATAAGGCTTAGCACATTAATTTGGCTGGCAGCGGTGAGACACCGCTATGTAAATCCCGCTCCCTGACGTGCTCGTGTTGGGTTGATCGCGGATGGGGGGACTGGTGGCAGGACGATTGGCCAGCGTGTGGGCAATGGCACGATTTTGCCCGCTGCCAATGGCTTGGGGAGCTGCTGTCGGAGGGTGTCGTAGCGAGGAGGCATATATCAAATTCCAAATTCCTTTGTGTCAGAGCTCAGGAGAGACAATAATGTGTTTACAAATGATTGGGACTCACACGGTGAAGAGAAACCACTGTTCATGCCATATGTGTTTCACTGTGCTCAGAGCAAACTGCTGAAAACCAGGTGGGGAATCCGACTCGCAGATAGCCTAAAGATTTCATTGCTTTTAGAAACTCCTTCCTAAGCTACAGCCGAGCTACCCCTCTTTCTAACGATCACTCGCACTGACATCTTCGGTCTGCTTTTGGAGCTGGAGGGAAGGAAAGTGAGAAAAAGCCTGAGCTTTCCTAGGGAAAAGACCGATAGCGTGTGCCTTGACAAGGACACCAAAGGCAAGGGCTCCTTGTACAGTTGGAAGCCGAACAGGCAGCATGAATGTCTGCTCTGAAAAGCATGCACACTTCTTGTGCATGGCTTTCCTGCAAACAGAACATCTGAGTCAACAGGTTTTCAGGACTGGAAACTCTGAGTGTTGTCTTAATTGTTTATACTGCTGCAGCAAACTTTTAAACAAAAATGCTTGGAGTTCCTTTGCATACTTTGCCTACCATATGCTGTACCAAACAAAACAATTACATTCTTTTAAAACCGTCTTGGCAACAGGAAAAATGCTTTGGCTAGACAGCATCATAAAAAGTTGCTTGTAGTTAGGTGGCAGAGCTATTGCAAGATGTTGGTATTGATGCATGTATAAGTGTACACATGTATACTAACATATACATAGACTTAAAATGAGTTCATTTAGGAGCAAGGCATTAAAGCAGAACTTGCAAGTTCCTATAGGCAGATGATTTGAGTTGGAGCTATTAGTGAGTAGCTATATTCTGAACTCTTCCTATGTAAAAATCAGGGAAAACAGATCTGTGAAATAGTTCAAAATAAACCCTATCAAGGTTGCATTTTTTGGCAGGAGTAACTTAGGGACAGAACCCCTTCTCCCCCCTCCACCCCCCCCCCCCCAGCATGCAGAATACTGTATTACAAATTGAATCAGCTACAGCAACTTGCCCAGTTCTATGGAAGTCATCTGACTCCCTGCAACTCTTTACTGATGAAGATGCTGTGTTAAATTAAAAAGCAGAATTGCCCTCTCCCTCCTACGAGTTAAAGCTGCTTCATCTGATTCTGTAGCCTCCACTATAATTTTTACATGAAAGCGTTGTTTCCTCAAAGAGCACACAGCTCGCTCTGTCTCTAGAAACTCTCCAAGAGGTTTCAGCCCTTTTTCTTTCACTGCAACGCAGGACTTCTTTAATGCAAGTGCTCTGGCTTCACAAGCACGGTTTGGAGGACCCCTCTGCAGCCTGCAGTACTTTCTGCTCGAGATGGGTTAGAGAGCTGCCTCACTGTGCCTGTGTTTAGCAAGTGTAATCTGTAGCCAAGATTAAGGCAGAAAACAAATTACTTATGAGTTCCCCCCTACCCCAATGCTATTCTTCCTTCTCCCTCCCCACAAGCTTCCTCTTGTAACCTGGCAGAAAACATTATGTTGAGGAGAGGACAAAAAACTAAGTGCAGTCCTGGCAGGAAAGAAGGAAAAAAAAAAAAGAAGAAGCTATTTTACAGTTTTGTTATTTAAGTACTCACCTGATTCCGCAAAAGTGATGATTTCTGAGGTTTGCTCCACAACTTCATTCATTTCAGCTCTTCTTCCAACATCATCCTCTATTTCCACATAGCCATCCTCTCCCACCTTTCCCACGTGGAGCTTCTTGATGGCATTTAAAAGTGCTGCCTTGGGCACCGGCTGGGTGATGTTAGGTCTGTCCCTCAAGTGCAACATGTTCAGTATGTGCTTCTTTACTGCTTCCACCATCTCTGGCTGTGAGCTGGGCACATCCTTGGAGAGCGTGGCAAGGGCACATGATGGACAGTCAGTGACTGAACTGTGCCCTTCGGATCCTGGGGTTGGGGAACTCCTCACTATAATCCAGCAAAGCACCAACAGAAATCCTCTCTTCAAAAGCAAAGGCATCCTGGCAGCAAAAGTTGTTGTGATTCCCTTTTTAAAAGGCCCTGCTTTTCCTCCCCCTTCACGCACAGTTTTGTTTTTGCTTTTTGTTTTTGTTTTTTTGCTTGGGATGCCTTTTGCATTACTGCTTTTTACTCCACAGAAAGGGGGGTGTTTTTTTTTTTTTTTTTTTTTTTTTTTTTTTCCTTTCTTTCCCAAAAATTTTCGGGGGAAAAAAAAAAAAAAAAAAAAAAAAGAACCAAAAGTTTTCTGTGAAGTTTTGTTTGCAGGTCCCCTCTCTGCATGCAATGAGTGCTGTAGATGTTTGTGGCTGTCAGGGAGAAGAGTTCTGACTCTGTCTCAGAGTAGGAGAGAGACACAGGGAGAGAGGGAGAGAGAGAGAGAGGACGGATTGGCCTAAAGTGAGTGAGTGAATGAGAGAGGGAGGGAGTTTTGTCTGTGAGTAAAGGCTATGATTAGGAAGGGGGAGGAACAGGCAGGCTGGCTTCCTTATGCTCATTGCTCCCCTAACACACACCTCTCTTCAAATATCACTACTCGTGTTTGCTGCCCTCCCCCCATTGTAAAATCGCTTTTCTTTCCCATGAATTTACTCCTTCCCCCCATTTCACTCCTGGCTGTCGGTCCCCCCTGCCCCCCCCTTTTTCTTTTTCTTTCTTTTTTGTTTTGTTTTGTTTTGTTTGCTTTATTCCTTCAACAGTATCCCTGGCTTAACTAAGCAGAGGGAACATGAATGAATGAAAGCAGTGAAACCTTTTATTAATGAACACCTTGCTCTGGGTCCTGCCCAGTGTTGCTGGAGATGGCAAGGGATGTTAAGGAGCTTGTGAGTGAGAGGGGGCAGAAGCTGGATACATTTGTAGCAGAACGATATTCTGCCTCAAGACAGAGGAAAAAAAAAACAGCTTTTTTGCTCACTTTTGAATGCTGGAGGTTATCAACACTGTCAAGAGACCTGATGGGCACAAAATACTGCTGCTGTGAAAGACCGGGTGCCCTCGGCAGCTGCAGGACGCAGCGAGGCACGGAAACCGGACTGCGAGGTGGCTGTGCCGTGCGAAGGGGCTGTCCTCTCACCGGGAATATCCCTGCGTCCACCCCAGCCGGTGCCCAGGCTTTCTCAAGCAGATATATTTAGGTTTGGGGCTAATCAAGTAATATCTGAAAAATGCTTTGAAGATGAAAAGTATAGCGTGTCATCTGGCCAAACCATACTTGCTCCTGACTCAGGCGAATCCCTCATCGATGCCAATAATAATTTTGTCTGAGTGAGGGCTGAGTAAGACTTTCTACATTTGGCCCACTGTTATTCAGAGGCACCTTTCGCTTCACTCATTGAAACCGCACGGGGCAATCCTAGCATTAGAATAAGGCATCGCAAATGGAAAGTGATCTAAAATAGCACCAGGAGCCAGAGCTTCAGCAAGTGTGGCTGCATCCATGCCAGTTTATGCCAGCAAAGGATTTGCCCCTGCACCACGAAGACATTCCCTGTGTTCCTGCCATGACTTTATTTTGCCTCCTGCCTCCCTTCCCGACCTTATCTAGCAAGGACAAAGTCAGCAGATTCCCTTAGGTTTCAACTTGGTAATGAAGAAGGAGAGAGCCACGGCTTGCGGAGCCAAACTCCTGACTTTTTTTCCCTGCTGCACTTGAACTTTTAAAGATTTTCTTAGAGCAGCTTCTGTTTTTTTTTTAGTATTCACCCTCTTCCTTTTCCTTTCTCTCGGTCTCTCTCTTGCACACCTCTGTCTTCCCAGGTGTGCTTACCTCCTACCCAGCAAATACTGCACTTTCACTGTACTGCTGACAACCACCGTATTTTAGTGGAAAGGAGTAATTTATAAATATACGAATTTTGAGTTCTCCAGTTTCCGTGAGATGACTACAGGAACATGGACTGAGAGACAGGCAAGGAATTATAGTAAATGAAACATACAGAAGTAATTGAACAATCAACCAAAGTTTTACAAATGTTATGTATTGCAAGTCCTTTTCAATTAAGCTCTTTTATAAGTCTTTCACTGTTATAAGGCATCTACAGTACACCGTCATCTGTGTTTTACTGACCTGTTACTATACTGTTATATACTGTTTCACTTATGGGTCTGTCAGCGTTATAAACCCTGCAGCCATTCTTATAAACACATCTTTGTAACACAAACCTCACTATAATACATCTCAATTTCTTGGATCTCATGAACAGCCCCAAAGTCTGGTGTAATTATATGAAGTCTGAAAGCTTGAAATAGAAGTAAAAGTTTAATTGGATGAAAAAATAATTTCAGATGGAAATATGCATTCGTGATTAGATGTATTAACAGATGACATAATTAGAGTGGTTATTTATAGTTCTCATATAGCACCTATCCAGTAGTGTCTGATGAAAAGTAAGGGATAGGCGTATAGCAACATAAAATATAGATATGTATATTTGGTTTCTTGATGCGGGGTATGCATTGCTTGCCATGTATACTAGGTACCCTTATTATACATAATCTCTATTGCTTACAGATATAGCACATTGTACTTGCATGCCATTATGATTATAGATTTAACATTAAAGCAGAACTTTCTATAATACATCATCTTATAAAAGCATGTCTACTGAACGTACCTATATATAGTTCGCTCATACTTACATGGGTACACATATATATATGTTCATGCTTAAAAATATAGAAATGATGGTTCAGACTCTTTCTATAAAATTTCATGAGCTGCCAAGCTCTGTATATGCATTCATTCAATACATCCATAACAATATGCAACAACATGCACTTTAATTACAAGTTTTAGTTTTAAAAGAAAAAAAAATGATTTAAAGTTTTTACCTCTCCAGTCCTCACTCTCAGAAGGAGACTGCTGTATTGTGCATTAAGAACTGCTCAAGTTCCTCTTTGTGGTATTCATAATGCGAAGCTTTATACTGTACTTCTCAAGTCTACAGTCACAAAATTATGCCTGTCGAAAGTAAGGGGGCCGGATCAGTGAGCTGGATTGGTTACTCCAGTTACATCAGCAATTGACTGTTTTTCCTGTATGAGGCATACTTCTGGTAATTATCTAATGGAAACTCCTAATTGTCTAGCATGTCAAAATACTGTGGATTCAACTTTTGGTGGTGCTCTCTGTAGCCATTTAAAGAACAGAGCTTCAAATCAGACTGAAAGTAAACATTGTGAGTCAGGAAGACACACTCCAACTTGTTTTATTGCATAGCTATATATATATATATTATTAGATGTAGATATCTCTGATTTAGTTCAGATATTCACTGTTTGCCAGATATTTAATTACTAGTTAGCATATTGTTTTACCCTTCTTTCCTACCAAGGGTGTATCAGATAATCTATGTGCAAATTTTATTTTTTTTCACATTTAGGAGAATGTATTTGGTTCAGAATCCTTTTTGTGGAGAATACAGTTCTTAATTCAGTCTTTGTGTGAGCTCTTAGAGTCTCTTTCTCTTAACTTCAGACTATCTTTAAAGCTCTTCAAAAGTGAATCATACTGCTGTTGTCCAAGCCGCATGGTTTCTTTACGTGCAGAGTGCATCAGATTTTTAAAGGATTTCTAAAAATAAGTTAAAATGAATGACACATCATCTTTTTTGCAAGTATGATATTAACACATATGAAATTGAATATAATTCATTTTTGATTTCAGTTTACATTATTGAAAATCTGAATTAATTCTGTGTCAATTAGACAGTATAAAGTAATATATATATGTGTATAGGTATGTATATATATATATATATGGTCAAAATACATCCAAAATCCATCTCCTTTCTTAAACACACATAATAACTGGATTTATTTGGCATCATTTATGACAAATGGCATGATCATGCAGTCTTTACTCATTCAGAACACCCACTGATTACCAGAAAATCCCCATCCTTCAGATTTTTTTTTTTTTTGGCCTGAATCGTACTTCTGATTATATTTTTATGTCCTGCTGGTAACGTAAATCTAATCAGTCTTGGAATATGGCTGCTCTGAATCAGGAAAGAAGGATTTTAAATTTTCAACTTGCAGGGGTACCAGGCAGTGCTTTTAGCAGCACTGATTGCAGCTGAAGTATGTGCTGAATTCACACAGCAACTTTGGTAAAATGAGCAAAAAATTAAGAGTTAATGGGAAACATATGACCAGATAGGTTGTTTTGTTTGTGGGTCCAACGTGCATATAATAAGTTTTCAGGCTGTGACATGCTGTAGATTGAAGTCTTTTGAAACAGGTTTCAGTAGCTTCCCTGCAATCTGACATTCACAATTCCAGTTGTTACAAAGAATAGTTTTGGCTGCTTCTTCTTCTTCTTTTTTTTTTTTTCTTTCCTTTTTTTCCTTTTCTTCAGGGACAGTGAGAGACAGACTGAGAGGAACAAATAATTCCATTCCAGAGGAGCACACACATACTTAGTTCCTTGCAGGACGCTATCTTTAACTGGGATCCTAAAACCAAGTTTCGGCAAAGCATGTTTCCAGCGGTGAATTTTGTGTTCCTGGGACCAAACTGCGCTTGGTTTTAACTGGCATCCTAAAACTCTTTCCAATTAGTTACATACTGGTAGTGCAGTGGTTACTGTAATTTGGCAGCAGCCATGTACTCAGCAAGAGATCTTGTACTACACTGCTTTTTTTTGCAGAGAGCAGAGGATTTGCCCTGAAAGGAGCAGTTACCTTTTCCCTGGAGTCAAAATGTGAGATGCTGCGTCCCACTGCCCCATGGGACCACTGCTGACCACCTTCTGCAGGCAGCATCCACCGCTTTAGTATCTTCTTCCACAGCCTTAGCAGGTCACAACATTCCCGGTAAGAAAGTGTGTGGTCTGTAACAAGAAAAGGAAGGTTACTGAGTGAAGCACAGCAAACATGGGTATGATTTATAGTGCAGAATAATTTCTGAAAGGAGATTAGAAGAAGTGAAAAGCATTATTCATTTCAGAGCATGCTCCTTATTGCCTCGGGGAATTTATGTATAGCTTTACCAAAGGCCTAATGAAAGCTGTACTCAGTGACTAATTTTTTTTTCACACCTATTTCTCTCTTTATAAATATTTTTCTCCCCACCCCGGAGCTCCTTTTCATTT